ACGTGGAGGAAGAGAAATCTCCTTCTGGCCCAGTGGCTCTGCAAATGTGTTTAGTCATTAAAACTTTTTCACACCTATCTGTTCAAAAATGCCTTTGTGTATTAGGAAACAAAAATAAAAATGAAACAATATAAACTGTCCTAATTGCAAGGTGTAACTTGCCAATATAGATACATTGACAAATATTCTGAATGTCAATCATGCACACTGTTTCATTATATCAGCTAGGTCTGTGGCAGGGAAATAATTAAAAAAAATTGGAGTCTGTTGCCTGAAACTTGAGAAATTTCTTGACTTGAAGAGGAGTCTCCAGAGTAATGGAAAATCAGTCTGAAACTCCATCAATCACAGGATAGAAGATTGGTTAAAAGAAGTGTTTTTCACCAAGTCGGCTCCGAAATCTTGACAGGAAAACAGATTGTGAAGCTGTCATGACATTTCACTGAGATGTATTGATTATACGTGTAACGTTCCAGAATATATCTGTAGCTCTTTGGTAAAAATACACAACTTTTTAGATAGAGGACTCGATAAGTTTAGTTTTTTTTTCTGAAATCATATCTTTATTCTATTTTCTTTTTTGATTTCTTTCTTTTTTTTTAACAGAACGTACTAAACAAGAAATCAAGCAACAACAAAAAAAGTTATTAAGAGTAGCAAAGAAAAACAACTAGTTCAACAAGTGAAAGTAATGGCTATCTCAAAAACACACAGCCAAGATAACCAAATGCAAAATGAACACTTCGAGCATAACAGCACTCTTAAAGTAATCAAATGAATTTGTCCGTGGTCAAGAGATAAGTGCATGGAGCAGACAGAACCCTTGACCTGCAGGTCTTTGTTTGGATGGGTTGCCCGTCAGTGGAGACAGGACAAGGGTGATTGATTGGGTCTCTGTTGGCGAGCTCAGCTGGACATCCTGAAGAGATCTCCCATCCATCAGATTGTTCAGAGCTGCTTCCAGATGGGCAGCATTGTTTCTGGGCCACCCTGACAGACTTCTGAAGGACCCTACGAGGTGCAAAATGTTACTGATAAAGGCCACAGAAAACCCACAATCCCTAACATCTGTGCTTGTCTGTTAACATATTTAAAAGCCACTGCTCACACGGAACCTAATCAGTACCGTACACAAGTGGACATGCAGAAACAATAGTTGTCATTACAATTAGGAGTCATAATTTAACAACCATCCACAGTACAAAGATAAGCGGAAGAGTGATGCACTGGCAGTGATCACTGTATATAGTGTCTAGCGAGGCATAACATAGAAACTTAATTGCATTGCAAGGCTTAATTGCATAGTTAGAACAGGGGGTAATGAGTTAATCCCAGCCCAGTCATCCATGATGAGAAGAAGCAGGTTCTCAGCACAGTAATTACACTGGTGCTCATTAACCTCCAAGCTTTGGTAATGTGCTCACAGTCCAGACTGAAGGAATTTGGAAAGGTGCACTTGGTATGTTGGTCCAGTTCAGTCACAGGACACCATCACTTTAAGGAAACACCCTGTGGAGGAAAAAAAAAGACATTATGTGAGACCTTACGTGATGCATTCAGTGCTCATTAATCATTTCAAAAGGCCAGTCTTCCATTATCTGACATTTTCCAAGAATCCAACTGCAGGCTGAGAGCACAGCATCAGTGGTGACAGGTGAGACTCTGCCTGGATATGGTTTTTGTTCACACTTCAGCTGCTGCCCTCTGTGTTGCTAAGGATAGTAAGCTGTTACTATAGGACCAGACTTTTCGACTGTGACAAAACACTGAACCAATATACCATGGAGGTTTTGGATCGTTATAATACAATCATCAGTAGGAGTTGGATTCAACACATTTTTGGAATATCCATCCATCCATCCATCCATCCATCCATCCATCCATCCATCCATCCATCCATCCATCCATCCATCCATCCAATGG